GGCACCATGCCAAGTGCATTGGCAAAGACTGGCATCTCTAGTGGCAAGGTTCTCTCAAGGGGAGCTTCCAGCTACTTGCTGGTGTAGGGGTCTGGTGTGTGCACTGGCAGCGAATGGGGAAGCTGGGGTCAGCTGCGGTCAGCAGGCCCTGGGCTGCCTTAGATGAAGGGGTGCAACTGCAAATCCCACACAGCTCCCTACAGGCCTCTGGAGCCCCTCTGGGAGGCTGAGATTCAGGGAGACTTCCTTTAGGGGCAAAGGCCAGTTACGCAGCTGCTAACCCGGTGGGGAGGCTTGTTCCTGGAACCAGTGGGGCCAGGGCACGATCAGATGCAACATCAGCACCCAGGCCAGAAGGGCACACCTTTCCAAGAGGCTACAGGGAGTGTGCTCCTCTCCCTAATCACGAGGCTTCCTGTGTCAATCACTGGGGCAGGGGTTCAAGGGAACTCAGTGGGCAGGGAGCTCTGAGTCTGGTGGGGACTGAACCTGTGATGCCTTCTGGAGTCTCACTCCTCTGCAGGGAGTGAGCCGCCCCTGCTCACAGAGAGTCGCTCAGCCTGAGCATCCTGCCCAATACTCAAGCACTTTAGAACTAACCTGGACCTTGGGGTTTGGTTAAGGGATGTCAGGCCCTCCTGAGTGCTTACTGTTTGCTGAGCTCACCACATGCCTTGCCACAGCCCTGGGCTGTGTGTGCCCCGAGAGCTCCTGCTTAATATCAAGCTGCATGCTGGCACCTTCACCCTTCATGCAGGCACCCACTCCACACAGTTCTCAGGTGTCCTGGAGGAAGGGAGCTGGGTGCCCCAGGCCAGGGGTTGACACAGTACCCACTCTGGATCGCACGCTTTCAGCAGCTTGCGAAGGATTATTAGAGTTTAGTGTGTCTGTCTAAGTGGATTGACGGATTATATTATCTAGTTTTAACTGAACTCACCCTCCAAAATGGCCAAGTGGCTCACACAAGATTACTGTAAGGAATCTGCAACTAGCACTAGAAACCCAGAGCAGGTGAACCCCAGCGGAAGGGAGAGCTGAGAACTCCGCATTACTCCTGGCTGAGCTCAGGGCACAGACCTGAACAGAAGTTCGCCCCTAATATACAAAACAAGCAACAAAACTCTGAATTTCTCCCACTCTGTGGTTACTGCTGAAGTCTGCCACGGGTGCCTTGTGCCTGGAGGTACTGGTCTTCAGCAGCGTGAAATCCTCACGGTTGGCAAGGTGTCTAAAACTAAGCTTTCAGAACCGAAGAGAAACCCGTGCAGTTTTTTTTTCCCAGCAATGTTTAAAGTTATGGCAGTTCAGCCCAGTACTTCTTAGTATTTCCCTAAGCAATGATTAATATTTGGAAAGCTCTTTTAAAGTTTTTGTGTGATAGCATGAGACTAAAAACACCTACCACCAAGCAGACACTTATTCTTTCTGTTGCAGGAAACATGGCAGAAACAATGAGCAGTAAATGATCTGCCGACAAACCGGAAGGCATTTCTTTGTCAGCAAACACCTTCGGAAGATGTAGAGAAAACACTGCCGAAGATTGGAAGAAACTCGTGTTAGAGCAAATTACCCAGTGTGGGAGGTTTGCTTTGCAGTGGGCTGAAAGCACAGATGTTCCCAATGTGGCTCAGCTGAAGGTATTTGCCAGGTTCTGTTCCAATAATGAAATACACACACTGCTGCTTTCTTTTCTTTCTTTGCTTTTTTTTTTCCATGAGCCATTAAAGGGAAGATATAGCAGACAAGATATATTGCCAATAGTAAATGTCTTCTTTAAATAAAAAACAATGTCATATGGGAAACGGTAAAAATGCAACCATGGATGGAATAGCTACTTAGAACGGATTTTTTCAAAAAGGATTCGGGATACGAATCAGGGCTCAGGGGTAGGTTCGTCCTTACCCCTCACTTGTTGGCTCAGCCCCAGTCTAATCAGCGTAGGGAGGAAGTGGAAGCCTGAAGGGCACACAGAGTTTTGCAGGAGGCCATCAGTGGGCTAATTTTATAAAGCCAAGCCTGCAGTGTTAGAGTAGAATCTTCACTCTACTTAGTAAGGAGATTAGGTGTGACCATGAAAACTTTCCAGCCACACAGAATGACCTATCTTTATGGCAAAGTACTGAAGAGGGTTGTCCCAAGTTTCCCTCCCTCTCTGCCTAACTTTCCCTCCCCACTTATTTTTTAAAAAATTTATCAGTAATTTTTAATGTATGTCTCTGTTTCTGCTTCCCTGTGATTGAGTCTTTTTTCCCTTGTGAATATTCTTTTTTAAAATTTTACATTCAGGGGTACATGTGCTTGTTACATGGGTAGACTGCATACTGGCAGGGATTAGGCTTCTAGTGAACCCAATACCCACATAGTGAACTTGTACCTGATAGGTGACTTTTTAACCTTCACCCCCACTTCCACCTCCCTCCTCATTTTTTTTTTTTTTTTTTTTTTTTTGAGAGGGAGTTTCCCTCTGTCTCCCAGGCTGGAGACAGTGGCATGATCTCAGCTCACTACAACCTCTGCCTCCTGGGTTCAAGTGATTCTCCTGTCTCAGCCTCCTGAGTAGCTGGGATTACAGGTGCCTGCCACCACGTCCGGCTAATTTTTGTATTTTTAGTAGAGATGTAGTTTCACCATGTTGACCAGGCTGTTCTCAAACTCCTGACCTCAAATGATCCACCCACCTCCTTTTCCCAAAGTGCTGGGATTACAGGTGTGCGCCATTATGCCTGACTAATTTTTGTATTTTAATAGAGACGGGATTTCACGATGTTGACCAGGCTGGTCTTGAATTCCTGGCCTCAAATGATCTGCCCCTGTTGACCTCCCAAAGTGTTAGGATTACAGGTGTGAACCACCGTGCCCGGCCTCCCTCCTTCCTAAAGACCAAAGTGCTTACACTTTTGAGATGACAAGAGCTACTTGTTTTAGGCAATCAGGAAAAAGCTTGAAAAATAAATGAACTTTTCTTGCATCTGCTCCTTCAAGGTAAAGATGTCCTTTCAACGAAAAAAATGAGACAGTAATAATCTTAGAATGAAAACTCATGCCAAGGAAAGAACATTTTTTTTAGAACAGAAGTTTGAGAGTGTTTTCATTGATATATGAATTTTGTGGTCAAAAATGTATGTGACTGATAAAATCCTCATCCCTATAGATTTAAAAAAACTTGAAAGCAGATTACATATTTGAATCTGTTTTTAAAAATTTAGATATAATTTCCATACCATAAAATTAGTGATTTTATTTTGTTTTTTAGACATGGATTCTCGTTTCCCAGGCTGTTCACACATGCGATCAGGGCTCCTCCAATCAGCTCCAATATTTTTGTGACAGCCACTAAAACCCAGGATTAAAAAATCTACCCTGAGAGCCAGATCTTCAAACTGATGTTTTACAATTTTCTTTCAAGGTTTTAGTGAATAAGAAATCATACTGAATCATGGTACTATTTCTTGCAAAAGCCAGATGCTTTTTCACACCTCCGTAAATGTACAAATATATTTGTAATACTGTAGAATTTGCTGGAATATGTGGCTGATTTCACCTTTATTTAATTCTTTTCAGTGTTCTCTTGGGGCAGGTGTGGTACTAAGTATAGGGGTGTACTGGGATGGGTGCTCCAGAATGCTTTCGGAGGGAGGTCAGAAACACCAGCATCTGCTCCTTCCCCAGCTCTCACCTCTGCCCTCTACCCTCTACCACCCACACCCTCCACCCAAAAGACCAGACCCTTCTCCTGGCAGCAGCCAGAGCGCTCATTTCCCAACCAGGGCAGGCCATACATATCCCCCTCAAAGACCTCCAACCACACCCCTCCACCCAGACTTCACGGTCCCCGATGCCCCCCACTCTCCTGACCCGACAGGCTTTCCCCCCTTCTACCCACCTACCCACTCACCTACTCTGATCCAGCTACCGGCCTCCCAGAGCACCAGCCGGCACTGCCCCAGGGCCTTGGCACTGCTGTGCCACCTTGCTCAAGCCCCCAGTCACTCTGTTCAGGTCTCTTGCCCAACCGTCTGCTCCTCAGCAGCCCCTCCTGGCCTGCGTTATCCACCCCTCCAGACACTGTGCCCACAGGCACTCATGATTTTTCTCCTAGGAAGTAGTACTGGCATTGCATTGTCTAACACTTCCTTTTATTATTTACTGCTTTGTCTCCCAGGAGAATGGAGGCCTTGAGGAGGCAGGGGAGTCTTCTTTGTTGAGAAATCTATGCCCAGAGTTCAGATGTCCTGGGAGGGGCTCTGGGTCTGGGCTGCTGCCCTGCACCCAGAGCTTCCCAACCGCTCCTCGGATCTCAGGTGGATGCTGAAATTGACCTTAGGGGGCTTCGAGCATCAGAGTGGCTGTGACTTGGGGCAAGCGTCTGCCTCATTGGTCCCCTGGTCAGGTGCAGGGTCGTGGAATGATCCCAGTGGGGAGACAGCAGAGGACTGTGTCAAGGCCCCCCGGGGATCCCCACCCCAGAGCCTCCCTGGGTGGGTTACAGGGTTAGAAGGTGGGTTGCAGGGTGGTGGGAAGCTGCTCTTCTCCAGGAAGAGCACTCAAGTCCTTAGCTGCCAGGACTGAAGCTAAGAATGGTGGGGCACACGGTCTGAGTGTGTCGTGTCCCGGGTGGGAGGACATCTCTGGGTCCATGCCTGTGTGGTCCTCCTCAGGCTAGAGGCGGGGTGGGGGCTGGGTGGCAGCTGCATGGCACAAATCTGCATTCTCTGGAGTTGGGAGGAAGAATCAGAGAGCAGCTGGGTGCGGGGTCGGGGGGAGGTTGGTCCTGGGAATTCCAGGCTCAGCTCCCCCGGCTCCCTGTGCTTCTGCTCCCTGCAGGGGATACGGAGCGAAGAAGGGCAGCACCGCACCAGTTGAGGCTGGTTTATCTCTAGGAGGTGAAGGTCCAGCGGCAGGACACCTGTGTGTGTTCTCTGGGAGTGGCAGCTCGGGACAGGGACCAGGGCACGACCCCTGGAGGTGGGGAGCAGGAGAATTCCGGGGTGGGGCGTTCAGGGAGCAGCGGCCGCCCCCAGCAGCAGCAGCAGGGTCCCGGCCAGCAGAGGAAGCGACTGGGGAGCCAGGTGGGCGGCGTTGGTGGTACGGGCGAGAGGCGCGACACTGGTGGTGCCGGTGGCGGGTGCCAGGTCGCAGGCCGTGTAGGGCTCCAGGCAGGCGGCGAAGGCCATAACGTGGGCTACGAAGGTCTGCTCCTGCACACCGTGCACCAGGTGCGCCTGCGGGCCGCGCGCGAACACCGCCACGTCTTCGCCTCCGTGGGTCTCGGACGACAGGGGCACCGCCGCCTGCTGCTTGTAATCGGGGCTCCCTGATAGGAAGATGAGTGCAGTTCAGGGAAGGCGGTGGCGTCCCCCTCCCGAGAAGAATGCCTCCATCCCTGGCCCCCTGGCACCCCGAGCCGCCATCCAGCCCCACTCACCGCTCTCGCTCTCATTCACGTCTGGTCGCGCGCCTGAGTTGAACGCATAGCCTGGGCCATTGCCATACAGGATGGATGTGTAGGCTTTGCTGTCCTGAGCCTTGCTGGGGGCCAGCCCTGTGGGAAGATGGGGGTCCCTGTGGTTGAGCTGAACGCAGCTGTGGGAGCGCCTCCCATGTGCCAGGCATCGCCACTTTTTGCCTGTTCAGGGATTCGGTGCTCACAAGATCTCTGCAAGGCAGGTGCCAATATTATGCATATTTCACAAAGGAGAAAACTGAGGCCCAGCCTTCGCCCACATAATTGATGCAGCAGCACCTGCCTCTCTCCCCAGGCCTACCGAAGATGGAGCTCCCTCGCAAGGTGTATCCACCAAAGGAGAAGACATGGGAGTGGTCAGCGGTGACGAGGGTCAGCGTCTCCTCCTCGTTGGTGAGCTGGCCCGCCTTCTCAATGGTGTCGTCGAACATGACCGCCTCCGTCAGCGCATGATGAGCTATGCCCTCATGATGACCATGGTCGATGCGGCCGCCTGCAGGAAGGCCAGAGCGGTGTGATGCTTGAACCTGCCCTGCCCTGCCCTGCCCCGCCTTGCTTCACTCCCCAGGGGACACCACACACCCTCCACGAAGAGGTAGAAGCCAAGGGGGTTCCTGCTCAGCAGGCGTAGGGCAGCCTCTGTCATCTCCATCAAGGAGGGGTCTTGTTCGGGGTCTCGGTGAATCTCATATTTCGTGTCTCCAGGCTCGAAGAGACCTGTGGGACAAGGGGCTCGGTGGTGACTGGCAGGCTGGGGGTGTAAGGGTGCTGGCAGATGTGCACACAGTCTCAGAAGGTGCCATCTGAGGCTGTCCAAAGGGTGCCAGGGCAGGAAGGGGGTCATTACCCATGAGGTGGGTCACAGAGGAGTCCAGGGAAGCCTGCATGAGCTCAGTGCGGTTCCACACATACCGGGCACCCTGGAGGGACACAGCCAGGCCTCAGCCCACAGCCCCGAGCCCCACGCCCCTGCACTCCCCCTGCTGTGCCCCCCACACCCACCAGCCCCCATCACCTGGTGCTTCCCCAGCCATTCCTGCACAAGGTTCTTCCCGTCCAGCCTGATTCCGTTTTGGCTGGCATCACTTGGGTACTCAGGGTCTGGGGTCCCCGTGGGAAACATGTACTTTCGGCCTCCACCCAGGATCACCTGGGGACAGAGGATGGGGCAGGTGGGTTTGGGGCCTGGCTGGCCCTGTGCCCCCTCCCCATGCATAGCCCTTGGCTCCCCTCCCCAGGGCTGTGGGAAAGGCCCCGCCTGTGCTGCACCTTCTACGTCTCCAACCTCCAGACCCTGCTGGCCCCATCAGGCTGTTGGTTGCCTGGATCTGAGCCTGTGCTCCCACCCTCCACTCTGCCCAGCCCCAGCCCTTGGCCTTGGGGTCTCACGTCAATGTCCATGTTGGAGATGAGCTGCGTGGCCATGTCCTGGCAGCCCTCCTGGCGGGCCGAGGCAGGCATGTCAGCATCTGAGTACCAGTTGCGGTTCACCGTGTGTGCGTAGGTACCGGCTGGGGAGGCGTGCTGCACCCGTGTGGTGGTCACCACTCCCACTGACTTCCCTGAAGGTGACAGAGGTCAGGGTATGCGACAGAGGTCTGTGACCTGGCCCTGACCCCGCAGCGGGCCCCAGCTCACCTGCCTTCTTGGCCCGGTTCATCACGGAGACGACCTCGTTGCCGCGGGTCGTGTTGCACTGGTTAAAGCGGGCGGCTGCGCTCAAGCCGATGGTCTGGTAATTGGCCTTGACCCCGCACAGGTAGGCCGTGGCTGTGCCTGCGCTGTCTGGCACCTGTCTGTCCACATTGTACGTCTGGGGACGGAGACACCCTGGGCTCTACTTTGGGGCAGATACACAGACCCCAAGCAGAGCACTGGTTCTGGTCCTCTGGAATCCTAACTGCCCCCAGCTCCCAACTCAGGCCCCAGCTGTCCGGAGTCCTTCCCTCCTCCCGCCCTCCATAGCCAGGATTCCTCTTCTCTGCTTGGAGGACTCCGAGGTGGCCCAGCCCTCACCTTGGACAGAGCCACGTATGGGAAGCGATCCATGGCCAGGGGCGTCTCAGGCCCCAGTTTGCCCTCCTTCTGCCCCTTTAGGATCCTGGTGGCTGTCACTGTGGGCACTCCCATCCCTGAAGGAGCAGAAATGTGTGAGCCTTGGGCCCCAGGGCTGTCCTGGAACCACCGACAGTCCGGGTGCTGGGACTGTGAGGGCTGCGGGCTGGACAGCCTTGCTCACTCACCGTCGCCTAGGAAGAGGATGAGGTTCTTGGCGACCCTCTGGATGGGCTGAAGCTTCTTGGCGGCATCCAGGGCCTCAGCTGCCTGGCGGTTCCAGAAGACTGGGTTCTCCTCCTCAGCTGGCCAGGGGGAGAGTAGAGATCAGGTCAGCCTGGGCTGGGGGGTGCCCTGTATGCAGAACAGCAGGGGAGCCTCATTACCTGGGATGACGCCCAGGGAGAGCTGTAGCCTCAGGCCCAGCAGCAGCAGCACCCACAGCCCCTGCATGTCTTGGGGGCAGCAGGAGGGAGGCGAGGTGGGGACACCAGATAACCAGCTACAGTGCAGGCTACCTGGGTTTAAATCAGGGGAGGACTTTGCCCCTGGCTATAAATGTTCCACGTCTCTCCTCACGCCCCTGGTGTCCATCTTGACCCCACCCAGTCCTGTGACCTGAAGCCAAGCTTGCTGAAGGGAAGGGACAGGGTGTGGCTCACAGTGCCCCTCCTTCCTTTGCCTCATTGGTTCATATTTCCCAGCTACTGCCTGGCTCTGTTCTGGTGTGAAGAAACGTGAGACTGGGAACACACAGCCCACGAGCCCCAGAGGAGCATGAAAGGAGGCATATTTGGTGGCCTGGCTGCCCTGGACCCACTTGGTGTGTGTGGGTACCCACACCTATGTCGTGAGGATGCGGGGTCGGGCAAAGGGCCAGTGCCCTGGGCCAGCCAGGCCTGGGCTGTGTCTTCCAGAGCAGCTTGTGCACTTGACGTTGACCCCTGTTCCCTTGCACAGGTAGATGGAGCTGGGGTGAGTCTGTTTTCCATGGGCCCTGGGCACACCCAGAACTGTAGCCTCTCACGTGGTGCTCAGAGAGTTTGGTAACCTCAGGCTGAGTTCAAAAGTATCGTTCCAGTCCAGACATCCCACTCTGAGTGTGTGGCCAAAAGAATGCGAGCCGGGACATGCTCCCAGCATCCACAGCAGCCAAGAGCTGGAAGCAACCCGTGTCCATCAACAGAGGAATGCAGAAACCAAACAGGGACCCATGTCCAGTGGATTATCATGCAGCCTTGAAGAGGAAGGAGCCTCTGACACCTGCTACAGCGTGGATGAACTTGAGGACATTATGCTCAGTGAAATACACAGTGCCAAAGGACAGATACTCAGGAATGCACTTCTCTGAGTTCTCTAGAGGAGTCAAATTCATAGAGACAGAAGTGGAATGGAGGTTACCTGGGACCGGGGGAGGGGAAATGGGTTAGGGTTAGGGCTGGGGTTGGGGTTAGGGTTAGAGTTGGAGTTTAACGGGGACAGAGCTTCAGGGCTGCAGGGTGAGAACGTTCTGGAGATCAGCTGCACACCAATGTGCGTGTACTCAACACGGTCGCCCCGTACACTTGAAAACGGTGAAGGAGGTAAATGTGATGTACTGTGTTTTGTAGCACAATTCAGAAATTGGTCCAAGAAGAAAAGGCTCCTCCAGCTCCACCTGCCCCAGCTCAACCACAGCAGCCCTCCTCCACTCAGGCCTGCTCACCCCGAGCCCCAGGCTTGGTCCCCAGAGCCCAGGGAACCTCACCTGCTGCCCAGCCTCTGCCTGTCCCACCCCACTCCCCACCACGCCCACGGGCCTCCACTCAGGCCGAGCTTTCTGGGGTCCTCCTGCCTGCACCCTGCCTGGCTTCCCACTGTCGTCCTGGGGCTCTCAGGGAAGATGTCACCCTTATGGGGCCTTCCTGCCCTCTGGTAGTTGCCCTCCTAGTTCCCAATACCTCCTGCTTCATCTTGCTGAGTTAGGAACATTCCTGGCTAAAGGTCAGAGGAGACTCACTAATGGGCAGGCAATTAATTAATTCATTGATTCATTCCAAAGTCAAGGTGAGTCAGGAGGCTTTACAGCCACCCCGAGTTTCATCTTTAGGTTGGAATTTTTGACAGAACTACAGATTCACATGCAGTTGTAAGAAATAATACAAGCCAGGTGCAGTGGCTCATGCCTGTAATCTCAGCACATTGGGAGATCACGAAGTCAGGAGATTGAGACCATCTTGGCCAACACCATGGAATCCCCGTCTCTACAAAAAAAAAAATTATAAAAAATTAGCCTGGCATGGTGGCAGACACCTGTAATCCCAGCTACTCAGGGGCTGAGGCAGGAGAATCGCTTGAACTTGGAAAGCAGAGGTTATAGTGAGTTGAGACCTCACCACAGTACTCCAGCCTGCGCAACAGAGTAAGACTCCATCTCAGAACAAAGAAAAAGAAATGCCTTGTGGACTTTGCTTAGTTTCACGACCACCCTCACTTTGGTATCTCCCCTTTAACGAGATAAAGCACGCTTTTAGCTCAAAGCATCTAAGGACACTGTGAGAACGTGGCTTTGGTTTGTTTGGAATACACAGTTGCCTTCCGTTTGTGGCAAGAGATGGTGGTCTTCCATGTTTTGTGGTTACAGATTTCCTTTTCTAATAGTTTTAAGGAAAAACTGAGCTTATGTAGCAAAAAATGTTCAGTAAATAATATCACAGGCAGTAAGTGGCGATGGCAAAAAGCTGTCGAGGTGATACGTGACTAGCTGAGTGCTGAGAAGCATGGATTTAAAAGAAATAAATTAAATAGCCTTTGGGCCTGAGCTGAATCGCTCTCTCCACCACTTGCTGGGTGTCCTTCAGAACGGAACCTCTCTAAGCCTTAATTCCCTCATCTGCGAACGAGAAGCGTGAGAGTCCTGTCAACCTCAAGAAACAGAGGGAGGCTCTCCAAAACGATGGAGTTTAACAGGGAATCAGCAGCAGCCCCGGCCTTATAAACCAGGGGCACGTCGGCGGAGGGGAGGCAAGGGGGGCTTTGAAAGGCCTAAGGGGCAGTGCATGGTCAGTTTTTAGTTTTTGTCTTTTTTTGTTTTTTCAATCGCTCTGTTTCCCAGGCTGGAGTGCCGTGGCGAGATCTCAGCTCACTGCATCCTCTGCCTCCCAGGTTCAAGCAATTCTCCTGCCTCAGCCTCCTGAGGAGCTGGGACTACAGGCGCTCACCACTGCATCCTGCTGCACAGTTGTTTTGAAAGGAAGAGAGCCCTGGTTCCAGGGGCTTATCCCAGGAGCGGACATCAGTTCACGAGCAGACAAAGCGTATCAGGCAGGTGTTCCTCTGTATCCGGCTGGCCGTCCTTGTGACTCAGGTAGCCAGCTGCAAAGTCCTGGCAAAAGGTCTTGTTATAGGCATCTGTGCCTCAGAGCCCTTCCCAGAGGCTTCATAAGGGCGCTGATCGTAGGCAGGTGTGTGGGGGCCTCCTTTATAACCCCCCGCCTGCATTATTTTGTTGTTGCTCTTAGGGGTAGACAAAAATGACTTCTGATTCTGAAAACTTTCACAGAGCCTGGGTCTCCGGGCTGTTGTGGGGCTTGATTAGTGCAGGGCCTGCTGCAGAGTTAGCAGGAGGAGCGGGGGAAAGAGGCGAACCCTGACCTTTATTAACGGAAGGCAAGTCCTTGAACATCCCTGAAACCCCGTTTCCAAGCTGAGGGTCTGCACACCACACAGTTGGCCAAATGGTCATGGAAGTAGCTCCTTCCTAGAGCACAGATCTCTCCAATTCTTAATTAAGGGCTGTGTAGTCAGGACCTCCCTCTGGGACATCCCACCTACCAGGGAGGGACATCCAGGCGCTCCTAACCCACAGGAGAACTCGGGTCAGGTACTCGGGGTGGGAACCAGAAGGGACTGTCCCACACCCAAGGTAGAAGACATCCCACCGCCTCCCCTGTGCTTCCTGGGAGGCCTCTCAACAGGCGGTGGAGCCCCCTAGCAGCACGAGCAGGGCCTGGGGCCGCAGCCTTCGGGCAACTGGGTCACAGGAACGGGCTCGGCTCAGCTAAAGGGGAGCTCCGCCAGGCACCCGAGCCCTGATCTGGCCACCCCTTCACCCCCTGGCAGTAGTGACAGTGGCAGGGGTGGCTGGCAGGTGAGTTCTAGTGCACGGTTGTCCCCTGAGAGTGAGGAACGAAAGACAACTCTGCCCTGAAACGTGCTTCAGGCGTGTATATGGATGTGTGGAAAAGAAAGTTTCCGAAGTCAAGGGTGCTGTGATTGTGTTTAGTGGTTTAACTTTGATCTTGCCTCGCAGGCACCAGGAGGACAATTGTATTCCAATAGCACCCTGGTGAGCTGAAAACCTGTTAAGCTGAATACACTATTGGAGGGGTTTTGTTCCATCTTCTATTCTGTTTTTTGTTTTTTTTTTTTGAGACGGAGTTTCGCTCTTGTTACCCAGGCTGGAGTGCAATGGCGCGATCTCGGCTCACTGCAACCTCCGCCTCCTGGGTTCAGGCAATTCTCCTGCCTCAGCCTCCCGAGCAGCTGGGATTACAGGCATGCATCACCATGCCCAGCCAATTTTTTGTATTTTTTAGTAGAGACGGGGTTTCACCATGTTGACCAGGATGGTCTTGATCTCTTGACCTCGTGATCCACCCGCCTCGGCCTCCCAAAGTGCTGGGATTACAGGCTTGAGCCACCGTGCCCGGCTATTCTGCTGTTTTTTAAATATCTGGCTAAGTGCTTTCCAGAACTGAGCAATGTACTATTGATACACATTAAAGAATGTAACACAGCTCATGAACGAGGTTGAGCAAAACTGGTTTTAAGTAAAATAAATTATTAAAATGGATCAGTTTCCCCCTCAAAGGACTTTCTATCTATGAAAAAATAAATGGGCTGGGCGTGGTGGCTCATATCTATAATCCTAACATGTTGGGAGGCTGAGATGGGAGGATCACCTTAGCCCAGGAGTTTGAGACCAACCTGGGCAACACAGTAAGACCCTATCCCAACAACAAATTTTTAAAACTAGCTGGATATGGTGGTACTCGCTTGTATTTCCACCTAGTCTGGAGGCTGAGGCGGAGGGTCTCTTGAGCCAGGGAGGTACAAGTCTCAGTGAGCCCTGATTGCCCCACAGCACTCCAGCCTCGGAACTCCAGCCTGGTCAACAGAGGGAGATCCTGTCTCAAAAAAACAAAAGCCAAAAAACCAACAACATAAATAAGCAAAATTTCCCCAAAACCATAAAAACCCACAATTAGAGAGAAGGTTCGAAGAGATGGTCTTACAATATGGTTTGAAATTCAGAACCCAGACCCAGGCCTGTGCAGATTGATGCTCATCATTCCAAGAAACACCCCCTTCTCCAGAACCTTCTTTAATGTGAAAGGCATCACATCCTGTTGCCTCCACCAGGGCTCAAATCTTTAATTCACTTCAGCCCTCCCAACTCGCATCCAGACTGC